CAGATGAAGAAATGCTTGTAATAAGAAAGATGCAAATCAAAACCACAATGAAAACAACATCTCACCCCAGTAGCAACAGCAAAGTTTAACAGGATTATAAGCAATAAATGTTGGAGTTGATGTTGGTGTGGAGAGACTGGAACTCTCCTATAGTACTGGTGGGAATGTAAAAAGGTACAACCACTGTGGAAAGCAGTTTGGCATTTCCTCAAAAAGCTTAACATATAAATTTCATATGATCCACCTATTCCTCTGCTAGGAATATACCCCAAGGAAAACAGAACTGAGACACAAACAGAGACTGGTACACCAATGTTCATGGCAACATTATTTACAATAGCAAGAAAATGGAAACAGCCCAAGTATTCATCAAAAAACAACTGGATTTAGAAAATGTGGCACATTCCCATGATGGAACACTGAGCAGCACTCAGGAGCAATGATTTTGAAAAGACAATATAGTAATATACTATACTATACTATACTATACTATACTATACTATACTATACTATACTGTTAGAAAGTTAGAAAGCATTATGCTGCGTGAACTAACTCAGGCTCATAAGGACAAATACTGCATGAGACCATCATAATAAATAGAAGAATAGCTAGTAAGATGTCCAAAAAGAAAAGCGAAAGAGGAAGAGGGGCTTAGAGTGGGGTAGAGGGGGAACCATGAGGTCACAGAGATTATTGGGTGGAGGGAGGGGATAATGGAATCAGCAAAGGTCCAGTGTGGATCTTCAAAAATGGGGTAATAGTGGACATAGATCAATGGGGACTATTTCATAAGACACAATACATAGAATGATTGCATTAAATATAATGTAAATGGGGGGCAAAAAGACAATAACTTTTTAAAAAGAGAATACAACAACAAAACCTTCTCAAATAGGGTGAAAAGAAAGCACAGACTGGGGGATAACATTAGGCAACCACATTTCAGGTAAAGGTCTGATACCTAAAGCTCACAAAATACAACAGCACCACCACAAGAAAAAGACCAAATAACCCAATCACAAAATATGTGAAAAGATATGAAAAGACTCTTTCAAAGTAGAACATTCAGATGGCTAACAAATACATGACAAAATGTTCAGAATCACTGGCAGAGAGATGCAAATAAAAAGAATAATGGGGGGGGGAATAAAAAAAAATAAACAACAATGAGATACCATTTCATTCCAGCAGCAGTAGCAAAGTTTAACAACATAGCAAACAAGAAATGCTGAAGAGGATAGGGAAAGATTGGAACTCTTACGTACCGTTTGTATAAATGTAAAATGGTACAACTAGTAGGAGGCAGTTTGGTGTTTCCTAAAAAAACATGAATATAGAAATCGAGATGGCCCAGCTATTACACAGCTAGGAATACACCCCAAGGAAATCAGAACTGAGTCATGAACAGACATATATACACCTATACTCACAGCAGCATTATTCACAATAGCAAGGAAATGGAAACAGCCCAAATGCCCAACCACAAACAATTGGACTGATAAACTATGGTACATTTATTCACACAATGGAATACTATGCAGCACTAAAGAATAACTATTTTATAAAATACTGTAATATATAACATGGGAGAGACTAGAAAGTATTTTGTGTGTAGTTGAGTTGGAATTGACCCATAGCTATACTCCAGTAGGTTTTCAGAGCCAATAAATTGTACAAGATGAAACTACTCATGCTGAGCTGGTGGATTTGAATCACATGTCTCTGGGACTGTAATGCAGCTTCTTATTCCCTAGAGAGTATTGTGTTGAGTAAAATAACTCAGTCATATCAGGATAAATACTACATAAGACCACTATTGTGAAAATAGAAGAATAACTGAGCAAAATATGTATAAATGTTGCAAAGGGGAAGAGGGAGGGAAAAATCACTATGAAAGCAGAAAGTATTGGGCAGAGGAAGGGTGAAGGACCAGGAAAGATTCCATGAGGATTTGGAGACAAGGGGTAATAACAGGCATAGAGTAACAGCAATTAATGATATAAAATGCAATGTATATGAACGTTTATTAGAGAGAGCTCTATTGGCCTAGTGGATAGAAAGTTATGGTACCAAGCCAAAGGTGGATGTTTTTAATCTATGGCCCTCAGGCCTGGCTTTAATTGTTTTTGGTCAAACATTCTTCTAAGTGGTATAGCACTGGTCTGTCCATTTGCTGTACAACTCCTGGTTGCTTTGATGCTAAACACTGTGACACTGATGTGTCAAACATGATAATGGTTAACCATGGTGGACAGTGTTTGGTGGAGCTCCCCAATGAAAACAAGCTTGAAAGCAGGAGTGGCATTCACTTCCAAAAGAGCTTACCTCCAGAAACTCTACGAATGTGGAGAAACGATGAAAGTTATACAAGTGTTCAAATCTTTGATTCACAGGGTCACTATGAGTCATCTACAACTTGAGAGCACGTAACAATATAACAACAACATGAATGTTTATAAGCATAGCAATAAAAATTGTTAAAAAATTGGTCTAAATATAAATGAATACATGATCAGACACTGTGGGTACTGTAGTTAATGTTATGGAATAAAATGTGGACGAATGCTTGACTGAAAAAATATGCTTTGTAAAAGTCAATGAAAAAGAAGTCTACACCACAACAAGATAAAAGTAAAAACCCAACTGAAAAATGGGCACAGAATATGAACATATACTTCACCAAAGAAGATATTCAGATGGCGAACAATCACATGAAGAAATGTTCAAAATTCCTAGCTCTAGGAGAAATGCAAATTAAAACAACTATAAGATATCATTTCACCCCAGTATGAATAGCAAAATTTAACAGAACAGCAAACAACAAATGCTGGTGAGGTTGTGGAGAAACTGGAACCCTTATTCACTGTTGGTATGAGTGTAAAATGGTGCAATCACTATGGAAGGCAGTATGGTGCTTTCTCAAAAAGTTGCAAATAGAGATACCATTTGACCCAGCAATTCCACTACTGGGAATATACCCTAAAGAAACCAGAATTGCCACCCAAGCAGATATATGTACACCCATGTTTATTGCTGCTTTGTTCACAATAGTAAAGAGTTGGAAACAACCCAAGTGCCCATCAAATGAATGGAGAGGCTGTGATACATTCATACAACGGAATACTATGCTGCTTTGAAAAGGAAATATTATACAAAATGGGTGATCCTGGAGGACATTATGCTGAATGAAATAACTCAGTAACAAAAGGACAAACACTGCATAGTGCCACTATTGTACAGAGGGTCTGACATCGGAGCTGGGGGAAAACTAAGAGGGGATAAATAAACAGATAAGGGATAGAAGTGTTTAGGAGGAATGTATGATTAGGTATTATTGTCATGACAAGAGTCCAGAATAAAAGCTGCATAGTATAGTGAACTGTGTGGGGGGAGGGATGTTTTAGAAAAATGAAATTTTTTTTTTTTTACTTTTCAAAGAGAGAAGCTAACTGGGGGCAAGGGTGGGCAGGAAGGAAAGTGTGCAACAATCAATGAATGGAAATCCAAAGTCTCTATAAACTTTCATTAAATAAAAGGGAAAAAAAAGAAAAAAAATAAGTCTAAAACCAATCAACTTTGCTGTGAGAGATCAATTTGTTAACAAAGATCATATTATCTGCCTGAGGAAGAAATTTTATTAGTTTTTCTTCAGTGTGTTTTTACACCTCCACTCCTACTACCAACCCTCAGAGTATTTTTATTGAAAGAAAAGGAGTTTTTCTTTATGTTTTATGTTCATCACATTTAAATCTGTTATGTTAATTCCTAAAGGCAATTTAATAAAATAAATGGAACCCAACTAATAATAAAGAGCAGAAAACATACGTAGTTACCCAAATATATCTATGCATACAGGTATCTGCAATTATAATAGCTTTTGTCTCTTTTTTTTTTCTACTGATTTGCCTGAAGTTCTCCTTGAAGGACTAATATTTTTTCACAAAGTTATTTAAAATTAGATAGAGTCTAATCAAACTACTACAGTATATTATGCTCATTGATTGCTACTATCTTAGAAAAATGAAAAAATATAAATTCCTCTGGGGCTCAGGGGGGAATATAATCAAGAGAGCAGTAAAAGGTTAGGGTATAAGAAGCTGCACTGCAATCCCAGGGGTGAGTGGTTTAAATCCACCAGAGGCAAAAAAAAAAAAAAAATCCACCAGAGGCTCTGCTAGAGAAGGAGGGGCAATCTCCTCCTGTACCAGTCAAATTCAGTTTGACGGTACACATACACACACAAAAAAATAATAAATTTTTTTTTTAAAAAGTTAGGGCATATTGTCCCAACACATTTTTTTCCTTCTTGCAGCATATGGTATTCTACTGGTAGAATAAATACTTTTGGGTGTCACAGTCATTATTTTTAAATTGTCAAACATTTATTTTAATATGTATTAGAAAAAATTACCTAAACATAAATGTCAGTATTTTACAGATATTATTGTTGAGCTTATCTCTATTTTAACTCTATAGAAAGTCTAATTCTCCTTAGATGTCTAGTAGTTACAAGGCTTTTATTCATCCATTCTTCCTTCTTCTTAACCTAGAGATAGGTTTGCGCTATTGTCTGAAGGTTCCTCAGCCTCTTCTAGCTCCTTCTACTTATTCTCTCACAGTTATAATTTCTTCTAATAAAATCTTAAGAATTTTTTTCTTGATGTTTGCTTTAGATCAGACTAACAAACAAACAAACAAATCCAAAATCTTAGTATTTCAGGGAACCCTTTTTCTCTAGAGAAATCTGATTTTAAAGTAACAAAAAGGCAAAGAATTTCTTATTATAGAGTATCTTCTAAAATGCTCAGAAACATGCAGAATTTTAGCTCATACCACTAAAGAATGAATTATGAAATGGTTATAGTTTTATGTGTGCAATGTATTAACACAGAACTTTTCGCTAAATACATTCTTCTAAAACTAAGGTTGCTTTAAATCAAAGAAAAAAATAAAAATTACTTCATCTTGAAGTAAATGGGGGGGGAGGAACTGGACTTACATTCTCAGGTAAATTTTTGGCAATGGCACTGTGTGGCATAGGTTCAATACAAAGCAAGTGTACAATTTCTCTCATTGTGACCTCTTCTTTAGTCACATGTCCCACTCCAGGTACATAACGCTCTCCTAAAAAAAAAAAATTAAAAGGAATAATTGCTTTAAATTTCTTTCCACCAGGGGCATATAAACACAAAACATTGCATTAAACTAAAGATCAATGATAGAGAGGCCAAAAATGATTTAGGCATGTTCCCAAAGCTCCACAACAGTCTATTTGCTGAAAGACAGTGAAAGAAGCATGAAGAGATACAAAGGAAAATCCAAGCTCTGTCTCTTAACTCTCTCTCTCACACAAACACACCACACACACTCTCTCTCTAAACTATCTCACTCTTTCTCTCTCTCTCTCTCTCTCTCTCACACACACACACACACACACACAGCCTCTCAAATGAGTGTTTCTAATCCAGAAAATAAGGCAAACAGTACTGAATGAGCAGAGGTCATAACTGAACCAGTATTTTTTTTCATTCACTATCTTTCTCAATTTTATCTCTGGGTGTTTTTAAAGAAAAGAACAAACTAAAAAACCTAATATTTAAAGATAAAGTAACATACACTAGGAAATAATGTTGTTGTTATGTGCCATCGAGTCACTTGCGACTCATAGCGACCCTATGTACAATAGCCCTAAACTCTGCTCTGTCCTGTGCCAATTGCACCATCTCCAATACACCCAGCCCAATTGCCCCAGTCAATGAATCAATCCACCTCATAGAGGGCCTTCCCCTCCTGTGCTGTCCCTCCACCCTACCAAGCATGATGTCCCTCTCCAAGGACCGGTCCCTCCTTATAACATGTCCAAAGTATGTTAGACGGAGCCTCAGAATCCTTGCCTCCAAGGAGCAGCCTGGTTTGACCCATTTCAGGATGAATCTGTTTGTTTTCCTAGCAGTCCATGGTACCCTCAATACTCTTCTCGAGCACCACAGCTCAAAGGCAATAATTCTCCTCTATCCTCCTTAGCCATCGTCCAGCTCTCTGATGCATAACAAGTGATTGCAAAGGCCATGGCCTATATCAGACGAACCTTAGTCTCCAGAGAGACACCACTGCTCTTCAGTACTTTGGAGAGGTCCCTAACAGCAGACTTTCCCATCACAACACGTCTTTTAATTTCCTGGCTACTGGTACTAGGAAATAATAGTGGTGTTAAAATGTCTATGTGGGTTGGTTTCCATTTTTTATCTTCAAGAATCATCAAATAAGACAAAAGATGACATTGTTAAATCAACTATGACAACCTTACTGTTTTTAATGTCATATAATTCTTATTACCTCATGAAGGCTTGCAGTATCTTATCATCATCATTTATATTCAGTACTATACCATGTGCACGATGCCCTATGATACCTACCAATGAAATCTCGTGCCTAATAGAGCTGTACTTTAGATATTTTCTTGAGAATACCTTCTGTTAAATAAGTTAATTCAATTCTTCCTTATATTTATAGAATACCACATAATTTCCATTAGAAAAGCATCTCCTACAATTTGAGTGCTAGAATGAACCTAATCTTAGGTAGATCATCTGCACATTTTATAAACTGAGAGTCTGAAGGCAAAGAGTTTAAACAACATGTTCCTAATAATGGTAACAAGACCAAGACAAGATCTGATTCTAAATCTATTTTATTTTACTTTTTTGTTTTTCCATTATAAACCAGAAACTAAAAATTTATTATACTTAAGGTAACGAATATTAACTAAATTTCAAGGTCACACAGAAGAAAATAACCAAGATGTCTCGATAATACATTAACAGGTTAAAGAATAGAAGCAGTAACAAAATGGGAGTGGGGGGAGACAGTAAAACACAGTGTAACCTGGGAATTCTTAATTTACTCCTCTAAGAGCAAATAAAAAAAAAATCTCGGGATTCTATAATTTTAGAAAACCAAATGATCATTTTAAACTTTGTTATGCTGTTAGTTTGCCCATCTTTTCTTTCAGTTTCCTACTAGAATATTCTGGGTAAAAAGAATTAGCAGCCTTGCACACTTAAGCTTAACCTAACTGTAAAAAGTAGCAACAATTCCTATAGAAAGAACAGGTTATTCCAGCAACTAACTAGCTCTCTGACAAAGTAAAGGGAATTCATTTTTAAGACTTGGCTGGAAGAGAGTTCTGGGTACAAAGCAATGCTACCATACCCAAAACATACAGGTCGAAACTACCAGCTGCTCCATGGGGGAAAGATGGGTAAATGCCTCCTGTGCAATTTACAGCCTCTGAAAATACACTGGCAGGTCAGTTAAGAGTAAGTATGTTCCAACATGCAAGCAAGATTTTACTGAAGATTATCCAAAAACAACTGGAACAGCACATCAACAGAGAACTACCATAAGTCCAGGCTGGCTTTAGAAGGGGTCGTGGTACTAGAGATATTGTAGCTGATGTTAGATGGATCTTAGCTGAAAGCAGGGAATACCAGAGGAATGTCTATCTGTGTTTCATTGACTCTGCAAAGGCAATTGACTGTGTAGATCATAACAAACTATGGCTGACTCTGAGAAGAATGGGAATCCCAGAACACTGTAGTTGTTGTTGTTATGTGCCATCAAGTCGTATCCAACTCATAGCGACCCTATGCACAACAGCTCTAAACCCTGTCCTATCCTGCGCCAACCGCACCGCCTCCGACACACGCATCCCGATTACCCCAGTCACCGAATTAATCCATCTCATAGAGGGTCTTCCCCTCCTGCGCTGTCCCTCCACCCTCCCAAGCATGATGTCCCTCTCCAAGGACCCGTCCCTCCTGGCAACATGTCCAAAGTATGTCAGACGAAGCCCCAGAATCCTTGCCTCCAAGGAGCAGCTTGGTTTAATCCTCTCCAAGATGGATCTGTTTGTTTTCCTGGCAGTCCAGGGTACATTCAGTACCCTTCTCCAGCACCACAGCTCAAAAGCATCCATTCTTCTGTCCTCCCTAGTCATTGTCCAACTCTCTGATGCATAACAAGCGATTGCAAATACCATGACCTGTATCAGAACACTAGATCGTTCTAATACGAAACCTATACTTGGACCAGGAGGCAATCGTCAGAACAGAGCAAGGGAACACTGCATGGTTCAAAATTGGGAAGGGCGTACGCCAGGGATGCATCCTATCTCCATACCTTTTCAACCTATATGCAGAACAGATTATCCGGGAGGCTAGGCTCTATGAGGAGAAATGTGGGGTCAAGATTGGTGGACGATTTATCAACAATCTGCACTATGCAGATGACACAACCCTGCTTGCTGAAACTGAAGAGGACCTGAAGCAACTGCTGCAGAGGGTCAAGGACTGCAGCCTACAATATGGATTGAGGCTCAATGTCAGGAAGACAAAGAATCTCACCACTGGACCAATTGGCAGCATCAGGATGGATGGGGAAGAAATTGAGCTTTAGTTTGCTTGGCTCCATAGTCAACAGTCTTGGCACCAGCAGCCAGGAAATTGAAAGGCGCATTGCCATGGGAAAGTCTGCTGTTAGGGACTCTCCAAAGTATTGAAGAGCAATGGTGTATCTCTGGAGACTATGTGCGTCTGATGCAGGCTATGGTCTTCGCAATCACTTGTTATGCATCAGAGAGTTGGACAATGACCAGGGAGGATAGAAGGAGAATTGATGCCTTTGAGCTGTGGTGCTGGAGAAGAGTATTGAGAATACCATGGACTGCTACGAAAACAAACAGATTTGTCCTGGAAAGAGTTAAACCGGGTGGCTCCTTGGAGGCAAGGATTCTGAGGCTCTGTCTAAAATACTTTGGACATGTTGTGAGGAGAGACTGGTCCTTGGAGAAGGACATCATGCTTGGGAGGGTGGAGGGACAGCGCAGGAGGGGACGGCCCCTATGAGGTGGATTGATTCAGTGACTGGGATAATCAGGATGGGAGTGTCAGAGACAGTACAATTGGCACAGGACAGAGCAGAGTTTTAGGGCTGTTGTACATAGGGTCGCTATGAGTCCCAAGCGACTTAACGGTACATATCAACAACAACAACATTCTTTTAACCAAAGTTGGTGCTTCAGGCAGTTCAAATCCTCCAGCTCCTTCTCAAAAGATAAGCATTCTTTTCCCATTGCAACTTACAGCTTCTGAGCCACAATGGAGGGACATTATGAGGCAGAATTGTATGTTTGAATCTTAATGATAACAGACTGTTACCTCTTTCTCCTGGCACAAACTGATGAGTTTGAACTGTTTATTACCAGCCAAGTGCTAAAGCACCACAACACCAGTACCTATTTTAGGATCTATAAATACAAAATTAGTTTCTGGTGCAGAAAAGTCCATAGAAGTAAGAGACAAAAGCCAGAATGAGAAGTTAAGAACAAGATGATAGTATTAAATGTCTATCACCATGATTATCAATTTCCAGTTGTTAAAATGAAGAAAGACTATGATATATATTTGTATTCAATAGGTCAGGAAAATTTGCAAATGTTTATCCAAGAAAGTATATACCTTTCTGATGTTTATGAAGTGCTTATCTATTAAGAGACACTTAATAAATAATAATTATGATGTCATGCGATTGTAGTGGTGACACCACTTTGTTTTCTTAGACTTCTTGATATAATATGGAGCACAGTCAGTGGAATCTTAGTAGTTCATTAGTCTATAAATATTATTCTATAGTTTGCATTTTTATAAATGACTGATTTGTATATCTTTTTTAATAGTATACAAATATTTTTATTATTTAATTTAAATGATTTTTCTTGATTTTTAGAACACTTGAAAATATGAAAACTATTTCATCTTTATAGGAGAAAAAATATATCTGTTTTACTTAATTTTAGAAAAACCGGGACATTCAGTTCTTTCCCTGTTTGTTAACACTGGACTAATATGGAACATGTGGTTGTTTGTTGGGTTTTTTTTTCTGTCCATAAGTGTGTGTCAGCTGACTGGACTTGCTAGATCTATGGTCTTTGGTTTATAGTCTACCAGCATTTGGTGGTTGTGCCTATCAAAGGTTATTTGATCTTGGGAAAAATATTCTTTAAACTGGTACAACAATGGTCTGTCTATTTACTATACTAAAGTAATGGAGTTGCTATGATGATAAACATTATGACATAAGTGTGCAAACACCATAATGGCTATCCATCATGGGCAGTGTCTGAAGCTCCCAGATTGATTCAGGTACAAAAGCAGGAGTAGCGTCTACTTCCTAAACCACATGCCTTTGGAAAGTCTATGAACATAGAAAAATGATGATAGTTACAGAACAGGATACATGTCTTTTGTCACAGTGTTGCAATGACAGCAGTTAACAACAAGAAGAGATGAAAAAGAGAAGGTGGCAAGCAGTTCTATCCTGAAAGGCGGGTTCTCTTATTTTGGTTGAGGGTCCTGGGGAATGTTTGGTTGTTTTTGATTTAAGCATCTTGTTTAGAGTCAATATCACTTCCTGGTTGTTGTTGACTGCCTTGAGTCGAGCATAAACAAAAGGCTTGAAGCCCCTCCATAACTATCGACATTTATCAAAGTTCATAGAATTTCCAGAGGCATGTTATTTAGTAAGTGATGTCACTCCTGCTTCCAACTTCCTGGAGGTCCTTTGTATTTAAAAGTTGGTTAGAAAAAAAAAAAGTTGGTTAGGCCCTCAGGCCTATTGTAATCATAATTTAGAGGAACATTCTCCTCAGTGGTAAAGCACTGGTCTGTCAATTTTCTGTACTGAGGCAACCTAGACTGGCTCTGATGCTGAACTCTGTGCCACTGTGTGTCGACTGCCATAATGATTACAGATTGTGGACAGTGTTTGGTGCAGCTTCCAGATTAAGACATGTTTGGAAGCAGGAGTGGCATCCACTTCCTTAACAATATGCTTCTGGAAACTCTATGAACTTTTGATAAACGAGGATAGTTATAGAAAGACTTCGGGTCTTTTATCATAGGGTCACTATGAGTTATACTCGACTTGACAGAAATTAACAACAACAGAGGTCAATGTCACTATAACTTGAGGACATTTCTAGAAAGAGTATTTCTTCCCTTTCTATAAGTCAAATACAGTATCACAAAAAATAATTTCATAGCATAGCAGAATAAAAATTCTTTTTACCTAGATTAATATTATATTCAAAACACCACTAGAGATACATGTAAGAACATAATTTTATCACAAAGTGTATAGGTGTTTTTTATCTACATTTCTATTTGGGATATCCCTAGGCCTCTAAAAAAAATCCAAACAATGACAAGATATTTTAAAGTGACACTGTTAAATTTGTGATTTTTATAAGTTTCTTTTTAAACTTATAAAATCTGTCCCACTAATTTCTAATATCCTACACTAATGAATAAAATGATGAATTATAGTTCTTTCTAATTTCTATTTGCAACATTTGTTTAATCTTACCTACAACATAGATGAGAACCTGAAGCATTTCTTCTATTAATGTATTATATTGTTTAATCAAATCCTATAGAATTGAAAAAGAAAAAATTAATTACATAAAAAAACCCAACTCTCCATAAAATATGCATCTCTGAGTCAGACATATTGTTCACTTAGTCCAATACTATGTTTCAGATCATCGTGACATACAGATATGAGATAAATCTTTTTTAGTAACTAATTCAAAACAGTTCACAATATAATAGAGACTAGGAGTGGCATCCACTTCTTAAATAACATGCCTCTGTAAACTCTATGAACTTTGATAAATGTCAATAGTTGTGGAGGGGCTTCAGGTCTTTTGCTCATAGGGTTGTTATGAGTCGTGCTCACCTCGAAGACAACAACAACAACAAACAGTAAATACAAATAGTAACTAATATAAGAGTAACTTCTATAGTATAACTAATATAAGGTAATATAGTTAATAGGCATAATCAACATTATTTTAATAATTATTAATAAAATTATGTATTATTTATTTTAATATAGAATTATATAACAATTATATTTATAATTAAGAATAAACATTAACATAATAGTTAATATAACTAGTAATAGTTAATATAATTTATATAATAGTAACTTATACAGTAAATAATAGTTATTAAATAATAACTCAGTAATAAATGTTAGATAGTATTTTCATTATTATTTCTCATATCATTTTAAGGCAACACACTAATTCCATTTTTTAACTCTTTTTCTAGCTTCCCTGTTGAAAAAGTGTTTTCAAATAGGTATCAGTTATGGAAGGATTATCTTTATCTAACTTATCTCTTATTAATATTTAAGTACTACAACAGTCGAATTCTCAATTTCATTAAGCTTAAAACAAGGCTGAAAAATTAGGTTGGCATTTTTATTCTATTCTTTAGCTATTTACAAGTGGCTTCTAATTTGAAAGAGTAGGTCAAGTGCTTTTATAAATTCAAAGTAGCTAAAAAAGAATCTATAAGCTAGCAATTCAACAATCAAGATATAAGGAAACACAATAAGCCAAAATAATGTGAAAATACAACAAAGTAAATGAGAAGTTAAATAGCCTTATTTAAGAGCAAAAGTAAACTTCAGAAACAATTATCAAAAAGGAAACAAAGGTCCATAATCACAGTCAACCTTATTGATAATCCAATACCTGCAATTTAAATTAAAATGTAATATTTAACCTATCAGACTGAAAAGATTAAAAAGAATTCTAATGCCAGTGTCATTAGAGAGGTACATAATACAAGAAAGCACATAAATTGAAAGAATTTTTCTGACAGTAATTTGACAAATGAAATGCTGCTTTATATGGCAAATCTACTTTATCTTAATAAAATTAGGTAAGTGTGCCAACATTTTAGGTACAGACAGGTTTATAAAAACCGAAATGTAGAAAAAAAATACCTTCAACTAAAGTTAGTGTCAAAACAATATAAGATATCATCTCACCCTAGTAAGAATAGCAAAATTTAATAGAGCAGCACACAGCAAGTGCTGGCAAGGTGTGCAGAAACTGGAACCCTTATTCACTGTTGGTGGGAGTGTAAAATGGTGCAACCACAATGGAAGGCAGTATAGTGCTTTCTCAAAAAGTTGCAAATAGAGATACCATTTGACCCAACAATTCTACTACTGGGAATATACCCTAAAGAAATTATAACTGCCACCCAAGCAGATATATGCACACCCATGTTTACTGCTGCTTTGTTCACAATAGCAAAGAGTTGGAAACAACCCAAGTGCCCATCAACAAAAGAATGGATAGAGAAGCTGTGGTATATTAACATAACGGAATACTATGCTGCAGTGAAAAACACGGAACTCATGAAATATTATACAAAATGGTAACCCTAGAGGACATTATGCTGATTGAAATATCTCAGTCATAAAAGTATAAATACTGCATAGTGCCACTGTTGTAAAACGGGACTGACATAGGGTTTGGGGGGAACCTAAGAAAAGAGGGGATAAATAATGTTTACTGTATTGAAACAGATGAGGAAAAGAACTGTTTAAAAGGAATACAGGATTAGGTATTATTTTCATGACAAGATTACAGAAAAAGAAATGTATAGTAAAGTGGACTGTGGACTTGGTGTGGGGGGATTGTATAACAATGAAAGTTTTTCTTCTTTTCAAAGAGAAAAATGAACTGGGTGGGCAAAGAGGAAAATGTGCAACAATGAACAAATGGGGAAAAATTAAATGGAAAGAATATGCTGTAAAAATATACATGTTACATTAAAAAACAAATATATAACAACATGTAAAAAAAGTTGGAGTGTAATGCATTGGAATGCTATGCAGATTTTAAAAATAATGTTGTTAAAAAATTGCTACAATTGTTCACCGTTTTCTTGGTCTTTTTACTTCACTTCATAGTGACAGTGAAGAAATTTTGCAGGATCAACACTGTTAAATTGATTTCCAGTTGACAATTTGGATGCTTTAAAGTGTATCTATGGCTTTGAAGGAATTCTTGACCTACTTCGGAATTAGTCTTTCTAGTAAACTCAACCTTTAGTGATTATTTTAGCCACAGATCTTCCTTGAGATGGCTCTTAAAGGATAAAATGGACCTTAACCAGGCTTAATTTATCTTAGTCCATCAAGTACTTTTTTTTTCTGTTTAAAATAGCAATGAAAAAAAATTGCAATGAAAGCAAATAAAAAGAAAATTATTTTAAAAATTAAGTGTACTTTTAATTTTGTATTTTGTTTTACGCTTTTAAAAAAAATATGTTAGGCTGGAGCATTGTTACGTGGTTTGTTATTTCTATTTCTTCAGATTATGTCTTTCTCCCTATCAACCTATGACACCTGTAATTGATAATGAATTAAATCTTTAAGTGTATGTATGTATAAATAAAATATGCCTTTCATTTATAGAATCATGATCCAATAATGAAAAACTCTAAAAAAAATTGCTACAATACTGTTAGCACAGGAAGTAGATAATACAGCAGGATATGGAGAATGACACAACTTTTGCTTTAAAAACAGAAACACCAATACAGTAAATGTGATCATCTTTTAGGAGGGAGAGTTTCATGGAAGTAATCTTTCCATTTTTGTTAATCTCTAGAAGACTTTATATGTACACATACACACACAATCATACACACTGATACATATGCCATAAGCACATATGCAACTTTTGAGACAAACCTCAAGTAATTTTAAAAGACGATTAAAATAATAACAATAATGTTCCTTTTAGAATCACATTACATACCAGCTTCTCTTGCTTACCTGGTCTTTTGTGGATATAGTTTTACTGAAAGCATCAACAAGTTCATACCGCTGAAGTACCAGTAATAAGAACATGTTGGGATCCATTAAAGATGCACCAATCTGTAAAAGAAACCCAGTAACACATTTTTCATGTATTAAATGGAGAAACTTTTTGTCTGCAGAACTTTCAGGAAAATTATAAATTTATAAATAATGCAGCAGAACTTCCATTTCTATGCTATCAAATTTTAACAGAGTGAAAACTCAAAGAAATAAACTTAAAAAGATTAAGATGATTTCTAAATTTAGGTAGGATAAATTAAAGATCGTATGTTGGTTCTCATAGACTTATTTTCATTTTCTTCAGTCTCAGTTTAAACTTGCACATGAGTAATTAATGGTCTGTTCCACAATCTGACCCTTGTCTGGTTTTAACAACTGATACAATGACTCCTTCCACAGATGTAGTCAATTTGATTCCTATGCAGTCCATCAAGTGAGGTCCATATGTACTCACCTTTTATGTCTTTCAAAAAAAAGATATTTGCTATGAATAAATAACAAAGTTCAATCATTCTGTTTCCAGTTTCATTTCCATAACCATGTCTACACTTTGATTACCATTCCTTCTTCACTGTTTCCAACTTAAGCATTCTAGTCATCAATTACCATTAACGCATTTTGACTGTATATTTGGTCAATTTTGGACTCCAAAACTGTAAAAACTTTCAATTTCCTCTTCTTTGGCTTTAGCTGTATGACTGTATATCTGAATAATAGTTGTATTAACAGGTCTTCCTTGTATGCATATGGATAATAATTTAACACTCACAACATTGTATGTCAGGACAGAACTTGAAATTGTCTTTTTAACTATGATTACAATACTATTTTTCCTCTGTTTTTTCATTCTCACCAGAGTACATCAACTCATCCAAAGTGGCAAAAACTAATACATGTCTTTCTAATGCCTAGAATGTTGATATTTGTAAATTCCATTTAATTTTCACCACTTCTAGTTTTCTAATATTCATGGTTCACAGAATCCATGTTAAAATTATTAAAGGATGTTTGCCACTATTTTTCCTCATTTTGATTTGACTTCTAATCTGGGCTCTATCTCTAATACTACAACAGTTCTGTGTTCCTCTACTGTTCACAGAGTTTTCAGAAGCCTGCTTTTTTAAAATTTTTTTTTAATTTTTTATTCTTTCTTTGTGTGTACCGTCAAACTGGATCTGACAGGTACAGGAGGAGATTGTTCCTCCCTCTCCAGCAGAGCATCTGGTGGATTTGAACCATGTACCTCTGGGATTGCAGTACAGCTTCTGGCGACTAGGCCACCAGAGCTCACCAGAAGCCTGCTTTTTAAGAAGTAAATAGCCAATCCCGCTTTCCAGTCTGTCTTAATCTGGAAACTCTACTAAAACCTGTCTACCATGTGTGACCTTTGTGGCATATGACACACTAGTGGCATAGAATTTGGCATCACAGTAAAGCCATAAATGACCTCAGTACAGCACAATGACAGACAAGTGCTGTACCAATTGTTCTTCTTGTTGTTGTTATGTGCTGTCAAGTTGTCTGCAACTCTTAGTGACCCTATGTACAACAGTCCTGAAACCTGCTCTATCCTGTGTCAACTTTACTGTCTCTGACATACCTACCCTTATTACCTCAGTCACTGAATCAATCCAACTAATCAAGAGTCTTCCTCTCTTGTACAGTCTTTCTACCATTCCAAGCATGATGTCCCTCTCTAAGGTCTGGTCCCTCCTTGCAACATGCCCTAAATAGGTCAGACAAAGCCTCAGAATCTTTGCCTCCAAGGAGCAGCCTGGCTTCACCCTCTTTGTGATGAACCTGTTTGTCTTCTTAGCAGTTCATGGTATATTCAATACATTTCTCCGGCACCACAGCTCAAAGGCATCAATTCTCCTTCTATCATCCTTGGTCACTGACCAGCTCTCTGACACATAGCACAACTGTGAAGACTATGGCCTGGGTCAGGCGCACCTAAGTCTTCACACTGATGTCAATGCCATACCAATTAGAACAATAAATTCCCCTAGTACAATAAATTGACAAATTAGTGTTGTATCTCTACTAGCAAATCAAGCATACAAAAATCATATTACCAGATGCAACTGAAGCTGGAACAAATGTGGCACAATGTGCTCCTGGGAAGATATCAAAGTGTTTCAGCTGAGACTCATGGGTCATGTCTGGCATGCTGGTGTAAAATCCTAGATATGTATATTAAGGTCACATGGTATTCTCTGCTGAATTTATGAGTATACTTCTTCACCCAAGGCCCGATGGCTACAGGCCTGAGGAAGACCCTCAATCAGATGGACTGACACAGTGACTGCTGCAATGGGTTCTAGTGTGTCAGAAATTGTGAGAACAGCACAGGATAGGGCAGGGTTCAGATCTGTTGTTCATAAGGCTGCTATTAGTCGCACCTAATGACAACAACAAAAAACTTAAAAATAACTACAAACATTAATATAACTGGAAAGACATTTAAGAAGGAAGGTGATAACACAAATATAAAAAGTAATTTAAATACCTGAAGCATGATGATATCTTTATCATACATTTCTTCTCTGCACTTAACATCTTGGTAATAAAACACCTAAAAAATAAATAGGTAGAATAGATGCTAAAAGAATATTTTGTTTCAAGAAAAATTCTCAACAAAATCTGCTCTTTAATGTTAATGGATTTATTATTATTACAATAATGATTAAAGTCTGAACTTAGCTTAGTAGTCAGGAATTATACAGCCAACATAAAGGTACAAGATATCAACCTACGAGCTGCTCCCCAGGAGAAAGATGGGCAATCTCCTCCTGTGAGATTTACTGCCTCTAAAAATTCCCTGGAGGGTCAGCTATGTATCAGTTCCAACTCAATTGTATACAGCAACAACTAATGATCATAAATTATTTTTACAGAAGAATAGTAAGTATGTGTTTTGTGTATGTGTTAGCTCTGAAATGGAATCTTAAGTTATTTCTTTAAAATAAGCAAACAAACAAACAGAAAAGCTACCACAAAAACTTATTTTTTTACAACAATGAAAGATTTTTTTTCTAATAGAAAAGTGAACTGGGGTAGTAGGGAGGAAAATGTGCACAATGAATGAATGGAAATTCAAATTCTCTATAAACTTTTATTAAAATCTCAATAAAAAAAAGAAAGAAACATTTTTTTAAAATTGTTATTTGAACGAAAGTTTACAAAGAAACTGTGGTTTTTATTCACTTACTCATACAGCTTTCTTTCCCTTTGAATGCATAATATTTGTACTGTTGTGGATGTGGACTGTTAACTGTTAACTCCAATACACATGTCTGATCATCCATTCCTTCCAGAGTGACCTTTCTTTCACCTATTCCAAAGCAGTATTCATTCATTTTTATATACTGATCTTTTATCTTGACATTCTGATGGATTGGTCCACCGGGTCAAATAGTTTTCTTACTGAATCTCTGGGGTTTTCTACATTCACTATAACAGTATCTGCATATGAAGATAGTTTTACCTTCTTTTTGCCAGTTTGGATGCCTCTTATTTCCTTCTCTTGTCTTACTGTCCTAGCAAGGATTTCTAACATGGAATTGAATAGAAGCAGTGATAATGGGCAAACTTTAATCTCTTCCTCTGTGGATGAGCCTGGTTATTGGTTTAATGTATATGCTCTCAACTATGTTGAAGAAATTTCCCTCTATTTTTCTTTTGCTGAGTTGATTATTATTCTAATCGGAAAAGGGTGCTGGATTTTGCAAAAGTCTTTTTTCATCAATTGCAATGACTGTGCAGTTCTTGGTGGTCTTTTTTATTGATGTGGTAGATTACACTGATTGCTTTCCTTATGTTGAACCATCCTAGTATACTTGTTATGAATCCCACTCGGTTATGATGTATTAGTTTTTTGTGTACGTTTTATCAATCATTAAACTGAGGAGGACCTCATGCACTTACTGCAGAGGGTCAAGGACTGCAGCCTTCAATATGGACTGAGGCTCAATGTCAAGAAGACAAAAATTCTCACCACTGGACCAATCGGTAGCATCAGGATGGATGGCGAAGAGATTGAGATTGTTCACAGCTTCAGTTTGCTCGGCTCCACGGTCAACACTCTTGGCACCAGTAGCCAGGAAATCAAAAAACGTATTGCGATGGGAAAGTCTGCGGTTAGGACCTCTCTAAAGTACTCAAGAGCAGTGGTGTCTCTCTGGAGACTAAGGTGCACCTAATACAGGCCATGGTTTTTACAATCACTTGTTATGCATCAGAGAGTTGGACAATGACTAAGGAGGATAGAAGGACAATTGACGCCTTTGAGCTGTGGTGCTGGAGAAGAGTATTGAATGTTCCATGGACTGCCAGGAAAACAAACAGATGCATCCTAGAGAGGGTTTAACCAGGCTGCTCCTTGGAGGCAAGGATTCTGGGGCTTCGTCTGACATACTTTGGACATGTTGTAAGGAGAGACAGGTCTTTAGAGAGGGACATCATGCTGGGCAGAGTGGAGGGACAGCGCAGGAGGGGAAGACCCTCTATGAGGTGGATTGATTCAGTGACTGGGGTAATCAGGATGGGTGTGTCAGAGGCAATGAGATTTGCACAGGATAGAGCAAGGTTTAGGGCTGTTGTACATAGGGTCGCTATGAGTCGCAAACAACTCGACGGCACATAACAACAACAACAACAGTAGGACCACACCATGATCTCTATTTTATTTTTTTCCTTCTAATGTTTTTATTGGTTTGCAATCATTCAAATACATTGTGTTTCATAAAATCATTTACACTGTCTTTTGTTCATGTAAATTATTTTATACAATCACACAGTTTTTTATATAAATTATTATTAATCTATACCTATTATTACCTGACGTTTTCAAGTCCCCACTGAATCTTTCCTGTTTTTTAACTCCTTCATCTGCCCACTCACTAATCTCTACTATCCTAGTGATTATCCTTCTTCCCCTTACTCTGCCCCTTTCTCTCTTCCCTTCCCCTTTTGAGCATTCACCTGAGGAAATTAGAACTGATACACAAAAAGATACACCTGTGTTCAGAGCAGTGTTAATAAAAATGGCAAGGAAATGGAAATAACTCAAATTCCCATCAACAAAGGAATGGACTGAGAAACAGCACATTCATGCAACAGAATTCTATGTAGCAGTAAGGAACAATTTTATACAATACTATGCAACATGTGTGAGTCTAGAGAGCATTATTCTGTGTGAAATAACAGTCTATTAAGGACAAATATGGCAAATACTACAAAAACAGAAGGATAAATGAGCAAGATATGTATAAATGTGTTATTCTTTTTTATATGTTGTTGGAGAAAATGAGTAGAATTTTGTTAAGGACTTTTTTGCTATTGGTCTATATCTCTTTTCTTTTTTGGTGGTATCTTTACCTATCTTTTGTATCAGAGTTATACTTGCTTCATAAAATAAACTCTTTCTATAAGAAATCATTACAATCTGACATTGCTGAAAGAAGGAAGGTCAGATTTAAAGATATCTTCTGCCACTCTCCTTGTCACTAATATATAGTACTGTTTCTATCAGAGTGAGAACATGAGGGTTCAATAATACAAGCTCTTATTTAATACCTTGCCTAATTAGATGTTGTGATTATATTAGTTATAACTAGAAGATTTCATTAATTTCCTTCTTTTTCTATATCCTGAAATAATTTAAGTAGGATTGGTGACAGTTTTTCTCTAAATGTTTGGTAGAATTCACCTGTAAAGCCCTCCGGTCTGGGTAGCTTGGTGTGGTGTGATTTGGTGTTTTGTTTTTGTTTTTTTTTGGTTAGGACTTTTATTATGACCTGTTTAATTTCTTCTTTAGTGATGGGGCTGACATATCTATTCTTAAAAGTTTCTTTAAGATCAGAAGCCTCTACAACTTAAAAGCAAAGAAAAAAAAATTCATGTAATGTAATATACACGATTCTACACAATGTATATAAATTGTATATGCAAAACAATATAAAATCAAAATGAAGTGGAAAGAAAGAAAAAATAACTTTTAAGTTCATTAATCATTTTAAGAGGTTTGTAAGGATTAAAATGAGGAATTGTGACATAAATACACTTCACAGTAAAAAAAATATTTTAAGTCTAAATTAGTTATTTCTCTCAACATGTATAGTAAAAGAATTTCCTTCTAAGTTTAAAATATTTGTTTCATCAAAATGAATCAATTTTTATTATCAATCATAACACTATTTTTCTCTCACGTGGTAATTTTACAAGTCTTTGCTTCTCCACCTTTTAGGAAAGCATGTATCATTTGCTTTAAAATATATGACCTTCAATAGGACAGATGGTAAGAAGAAAAAATATACTCAATCTGGTAATTCTCAGAAAAGAGATAAGTTGATGGGAAAGTTCTGGTGGTACCAATGGATTTCACAGAGTCTAGGTATTCAAGTATCCTAGTTTCTTACAATTAAGACAGAATAAGGTGGAAAAAGAAATGCCTATCATTTCATTTTAAAGAGAATTAAAAAAAAGAAAATCTAGGGGCACAAAGTAAGATGTGTATACATATTTGTGTGTGTGTGTGTTTGTGAGTGTGTGGCTCTGGTGGTCCAGTGGTAAGAAACTGTGCTGCCAATCCAATTTTATGTGGTCTGAATCTATCAGCTGCTCAATTGGGAAAAAATAGGCAATCTCCTCTTGTGTAATTTATTGCCTCTGAAACCATGTTGGAGGGTCAGCTCTGAGCTGCTTCTGATACAACACGTAACAAAAATAATAATAATAATAATATACACAAACACACGTATACACACTCTCATATACAGAGAATACATACATTCATGAATGTAAATATTATACCTTGCCATACCTGGCTAATAAGAGACAGCCCATTTCTTCGCCACATTTCAGCAACAACCTGGGCAACCAATACAAGACAACGCAAAGGATATTCTACTAAGACCTCTACTTGAAAGTCCTCCTGAAAAAGAGAGAGGTCTATTTCATTATTTCTCACAAGGGTAAGGCATATCTAAAACTTACAGTATTACATATTCCTTAGTTATTTTTTGTTAATTAGGTTTTCTTTATATTGTATAGAGAGAGTGCTTTGAGTTGAGGTCAACTCAATAGCACATAACAATAGATGATCTCTAAATTCTGTCATATAAATTTTTATAAATAATGAGAATTACTCAAGTGAGTTTCAAAATATTCTGTTTCTCCCTTCCCATAAACCAAGAAGTGTCCAGATAAACAAACACTTTATTAATAGTTACTTACAAAAGGCACAAATTCTTGAAGTCTTGAAATAGCGCCTAACCTGCTTAAACGAACATGAAGACCTAAAGATTACATAAAAAAAAAGAAATTAACGCTAGCCAATATGTTTCCAAGTTACATCATCAGGTTAGGAAATCTGTGTGAGTTAAAGTATGTTTATCGTGTTTAGAAATGACATCCTAGAATGCCAACTCTTAACTTCTTTTTAAAAATCACCAATATTATTAATATATTAAAATTCCATTTTGGGTAAAGTGATACATTATGTTGTTGTTGTTGTTGTTGTTGTTGTTGTTGTTATGTGCCGTCGAGTCGTTTGCGACTCATAGTGACCCTATGCACAAGAGCCCTAAACCGTGCTCTATCCTGTGCCAATCTCATCGCCTCTGACACACCTATCCCGATTACCCCAGTCACTGAGTCAGTCCACCTCATAGAGGGTCTTCCCCTCCTGCGCTGTCCCTCCACCCTCCCAAGCATGATGTCCCTCTCCAAGGACCTGGCTCTCCTTGCAACAAGTCCACAGTATGTCAGATGAAGCCCCAGAATCCTTGCCTCCAAGGAGTAGCCTGGTTTAACCCTCTCTTGGATGGATCTTTTTGTTTTCTTGGCAGTCCATAGAACATTCAATACTCTTCTCCAGCACCACAGCTCAAAGGCGTTAATTCTCCTTCTATCCTCCCTAGTCATTGTCCCACTCTCTGATGCATAACATTATACATTACATAAAAATTATATGCTGCCTCTCAAAATGTTACTATCTTGATGTTAACCAATATAAAAAGAAATTAAATTACAAACAGTCCTTTTTATAAAAATAGAAATGATGTAAAATGACATGTCAAGAATGAAGTAAAATGTCTTTAATATGTTACTTAAAAATAGACTGATCACTGTTTCTGTACATAAAAGTTCAATTATTCAAAACAAGTTAAGAAAGATGTAATCTGCCAAACAGCAGATACTCAATCACTGAAATAGAGACTATATTCAGTATCATTATTATAATCGAGAAGATGCAAATAAAAGGAAAATGATCTTTTACTAAAGAAATAATGACACACATTAGTGATTTTATTTTACTAGCAAAAAAGTGAAATAAAGTAAAACTTCACCCTCATACTGATGATGAGTGCAGACATAAAGATACTAGCATTTAAATATATTGGTAGTGGGAATATAAAATGGAACCAACATTATGGAAAACAGATTGCCGACTTAAAAAAAAAAAAAAGTTAAACATTCATATACAATGTGACCTGCTCTTTCTTCTCCCAGATATTTTCCCAAGTGAAATGAAAACATATGATCACAAAAAAATTAGAAACACTTTTCTTGAATATTAATATTAGATTAATAATCAAAAATAGGATAACTCTCAAAAAGTATCAAGTAATGGAAAAGAATTTGTTTTCTCTTTGTACAATATCTTATTACTCATATAAAAATATGAAAGAGCAATCAATTTACCTTCATAATATATAATAAATATATGTATATATATACATATATATGTATATGAGAGTGTGTGTGTGTGTGTGTGTGTGTGTTAATAAGGAGTGGCGTCCAATTCCAAAATAACAAAATAACATGCCTCCAGAAACTCTATATATTTTGATAAATTGTTGATAGTTGCAGAGGGGCTTCAGGTCTTTTGTTCACAGGGTCACTATGAGTTATGGTCAACTTAGGTAATCAACAACAACAACATTATACACACACGCACACACAGAGAAAGCATTGTTGGTATATATACATCAATCAGTCTGCTACTCAAATGGCTGGAGGTTTAAACCCACCTGTCATTCCATGAAAAAAAGAAGGGACAATCTTCTCCTACAAAGATTTAAGCCTTAGAAATCTGATGGAAGATCATTATAATTTGGAACCAATTTGACAGCAGTTGATTTATTTATTTATTCACATTTCAAGTAAAACTCATCTATTATGACAACAATAAAATTAGTAGATGCTTGGACTGTGAAAGTGAGATGGAAAAGTGAATGCAAATGGGGTAACAAGCATTATTTTGAGATGATGGAGAAATGCAGTATTTTGATGGGAGTTACTGGTCATACTGATATACATGTTTGTCACACTCAAAGAAGTGCACATTTAAAACACATCCAACTAACTGACAAATGAAGATATTTATTTAAATGGCAATGCAAATCAAAGAATGATTAAGGAAAATCTATAATATTTTTCTTTTAGTGGTAGGAAGAACAATGTATTGAAAATACATTAGTGAAATCAGGCAGAGAGAACCATTAAAAGTCAACCACAACATAGTTATTATATTTTCTGGGAACATAAATTAGCTACCAAAGAAGTCCTTAAGTATATTTATTAGATGATACAGCAATAAACAACACATTTATTAGATGATACAGCAATAAACTAATTTCTACACTGATGTTCTGTGGACAATTCCTTGAAGGCCAGTGAAAGCTCTTTATTATAGGTGTTTGACGTAAGAATGCATGTACACACTGGGCAGGGAATAAAGCCAGAGTAATTTTATACTTTGAATATATAGAAAAGAAAGCTAATAAAATCATGCAAAACAAAGGATTTACCAGCCAGTGTTCTGGACAGCGGTAGATGTATGCTTACAAGATCCTCAGATACTCTGTAAGATTTAGTTCTCAAAGTATGACCGCACATTTGTACTATGGTTCTGCCACTAGACATGAAATTTGTACTGCACCGCATCACAGCTTTGTGACATTCTTTATACGCCACTAGTAAGAGTTCCTCCTAAAAGGAAAATGAAAATACAGTTGGTAAGTTACCTACTTAGCATTCATCATTCAATAAATGCTTACTAAATATGAGCACAAAACTATGCTTGAGTAGGAACACACACACATACAGGATCAAAAAAGAATTATGTAAATGGTATAGGTAGCTATGGTGGTAAGGAATTGCACTGACAATGTAAAAGTAAGCAGCTCAAATCTACCAGTGGCTCTGCGGGGAAAAGATGGGCAATCTCCTCTTGTGCTATTTACTGCCTCTGAGAACCCACTGAAGGGTCAGCTGTGAGATGGTTCTGACTTGACAGTATACAACAACAAAAACAATTACTCAAACATAACTAAAAAAAAGGAATCACAAATAGTTGGGAAGACATTAATTGCAAAATAACTTTTGAGTGAGGCTTAAAATAACAAGTTGACTTTAAGTATGAGGAGTGAAGTTGTTATTCTAAGCAGAAAGACAGAATAAACAGAGATATCAACATGGGAAACTTCAATTCCTGTTCAGGTAGTTTATTATCAGGGTTTCTTCCCCCCCCCAAAAAAAAAAATTATGTGGGTTTGCTTATGAAGTTCGTATATATTGTGTTTCACACTATTCTTTATTCACATTATGTTTCATACAGTAATTTCCATGCATTATGTTATATAAAATTAATCACCATTGGACTTTGCCCATCATTCCCTGTCTTTTCAGGTCCCCACCTGATCCTTCGGTGTGACATCACAGGGTTGCACAATTTGGTAGATGGAGGGAGTGAAGGAACTTGGTTTCTTAAGCTGTAATCTTTGCAATAGCAGATCACCAAGTCTTTTCTCCCGTGGAGTTGTTGGCTGAGTTCGAATCACTTACTTTTCACTTAAGAGCTGAAAGGTTACCTGTTGCACCACCAAGGTTCCTTTTGAGTAGAAACAGTTGGCAATTAAACTAAAAATATGGCTTGAGATTAGTATGTGAATACACTGAAAGCATAAGAAGAGTAATAAGGTAGTCAATGTACTGCTTTAAGAAGAATTAGTGGATGTTAGTAAAGATGATAGATTAGAAAAAGAAAAGTTAGTAGATAAGGACACTAACAGGAAGATTTCTACAAAGTCTCGCTATAACAGTGATATAGATTTGAACTAGGTCAGAGCAGTGAGGACAGAAAAGAATGAAACGATAGAAAACAAGTCAAGATTATAAAATAAATTCAAAGCATAAGGAAGGAACAAACCTATCTGAGTATGGACAGAAGAAAGAACAGTCAATGGTAGATCTCTAAGACATTGTTGGTCATAACTTTATAAGAAAAAGGAACTGTGAGATCAAAGAAATTTGAGGTTTATCCATTTTAGAAATTATAAGAGTTTGAGAAATTAGTGATTTGAAAATTTCTATTTCATTTTGTTCAACCTAGCAATCCAGTCTTATTTATTCTCTATCAAAACATCAAAGGAATAAGAAAAGAGAAAATAGAAATTGGAAGGATATGAAAAATCAACCTGAAGTTAGTACTTACTTTAGCAAGATGTCTGACACATAAGTGATATTACAGCTTGTAAGAGTTGTCCTATATGCTTTTAATTAAACCATAGAAATAAAATATCAACAAAAAAGAAAATATTGAGGAATGTTTCCACTTATCATTTGGCAAGCAGGCTAAAATGAAAGAAAGGTATTCATTGATTGAAAAGAATAATCACTAATAGAATAAAAAAATTGTGAAATTTCAGGGAGGTGAAAATTAGGCAAAAATTTCAAGAATATTAGTATTAAAGCACTCAAAAGAATACACATTATGGACAAGTAAAAGAAAATATCCACTAAGTTCAATGCTGTCCAGCTGATACTGACTCACAGTAAACTTCCATCAGGTTTCTGAGGGTATAAATTTTTACTACGCATCTTTTTCCTGTGGAGTGGCCAGTGGGTTAGAATCACTGAACTTTAGGCTATCAGCCTGTTAAGTTATGTACTATGCCATGGATCCTTTACAAGGAAGACAAGTACTTAGAAAAGACATCTAAATTTAGTTAACAATTATTGAAGATTCTTCTAAAAGCAGGTCTGTCAAGTGGTCAAGATAGAAGGTAGACTACAGAGCTGGTCAGATCTAGAGTGAAGAGAGCAAATGTAGATAACTTCAGAAAGTTTCCAACAATTGCAAATACTCTCCATAAGCAAGAAGGAAACCAAATGTGTTCTACGTAGCTGCTAGACTAGATTTACTATAATTACTATTCTAAAAAGCTACTGTACTAGACTAAAGTCTATTGAGTCCATAAGTATTACTTCTACTCCAAATCTGTGACCAATTACTAGTGGTAGAACAGAAGAGAGGTAGTCATAGTTCACAAAAATAGTAACAACATGTATGAGAACTTTTATTATTGTTGATTTTTAAGAAGAGGTAAAAGAATGAAAGAGGAGGAAATATGACAAGAGATAATTGAGAAAATAAGTTCCAGGAAGAATATTGTTGTTATGTGCCATTGAGTCCCTTGCGACTCATAGTGACCCTATGTACAATAGCCCTAAATCCTCCTCTATGCTGTGGCATATTAATTGTCTCTACTACACAGACGCCTACCACCACAGTGACTGAATCAATCCATTGACGGTCTTCCTCTCTTGCGCTCCCAAGGATGACATCCTCTCCAAGGACTTGCAACAAGTCCTCCTTGCAACATGTCCAAAGTATGTCAGATGAAGCCTCAGAATCCTTGCCTCCAAGGAGCAACCTGGTCTCACTATCTCTAGGATGAACCTGTTTATTCTCACAGCAGTCCAAGGTATATTCAATACTCTTCTCCAACACCATAGATCAAAGGCATCAATTCTCCTTCTATCATCCCTAGTCATTGTCCACCTTTCTGACACATAGCAAGTAATTGCAGACTATGGCCTGGATCCGGCGTACCTTACTCTCCAGACTGACACTGTTACTCTTTTAGGAAGAATATAGGTTGAGATAAAGAGCCTATATAAACCCATTAGTTTTAAAGAGACAGAAATGAAGAGACCAGTAAAACATTTACAGAGGAATAAAGTTTGTGAACAAACTGTGGTGACAGGTACGAGGAGAAAATGAAAGAATTTTACTGTGATATTGTCAATTTTCTCAAAAAAACAAAAAAAGAGGTAGTTTTCTCTAAAGGAGAAAGTTCTGGTAGCCTAGGGAAAGGAGCTGTGCTTCCATGCCAAAGGCATGTCGTTTAAATCCACAAGCTGCTCAGTGGGAGAAAAATGGGCAATCTCCTCCCAGGAATTTACAACCTCTGAGAATCTGTTGGGGGCTGGATGACTAGTACATAAAAAATCAACTTTAGGGGAGCTCTGGTGGCCTTGTGGCAAGAAGCTGCACTGCAATCCCAGAGACGCACGGTTTGAATCCACCAGATGCTCTGCCAGGGAAGGAAGGACAATCTCCTCCTGTACCAGTCAGATCTGATTTGATGGCACACGCACAAACACAAATAATAATAAAAAAAAAAATTTAAAAAAAAATCAACTTTAAAGGACTTCTGAAGTAGGAATGTCTACTTAAAGGGGTTATTAGAAATGTTGGAAATACACTAATTCCATGTTTTGAAATTAAGTTTTCTAAATGACTTAACACCAGCTGCTCGGAAAGTAAAAGGATGCGCAATCTCCTCCCATTCAATTAACAGCCTCTGAAAACCCACTGGAGGGACAGCTATTGGTTGGTTTCGATTCTACAGTAGTATACAACATCAACAACACATATAACAAAACCCTTCATTCTTAGAATACTTAAAAGTCTATGTGGTCCTATTTATCATATAACTAATAGTCATTCCTATGGAAATAAAGATACACATACAAATTTAAGTCTTTGCAATTGTTTGCTGTTCATCAGAGAGCTGGAGAATGACTAGGAATGATAGAGAATTGATGCCTTTGAGCTGTGGTACTGGAAAAGAGTGTTGAATGCCAGGAGAACAAACAAGTTTGTCTGAGAGAGGGTGAAGCCAGGCTGCTCTTTAGAGGCAAGGATTGTGAGGCTTCATCTGACATACTTTGGGCATGTTGCAAGGAGGGACCAGTCCTTGGAGAGGGACTTTATGCTTGGAAGGGTGGAGGGACGGAGAAAGAGACAGACTATCGATGAGATGGATTGATGCAGTGTCTGGGGTAATGAGGGGTGGTGTGTCAGAAACAGTCAAGATGGCACAGGATAGAGCAGCTTTCAGGGCTGTTGTACATGGAGTCACTATGAGTTGCAAGTGACTCAACGGCACATAACAACAATATACACATTTAAATTCTGCAAGTGCTATTTACACACACTTAAATCCTGCAACTGCTATTTACAAGTGTTCTGGTGAAGTAATTATTAAAACATTCATTGGCTAAATTAAACATAAGCAGTTTGACCTTATTATTTATTTCACAGAAGAAAGATGTGGCAGTCTGCTTTCAAGAAGTCTGCAAGTTCCACTCTATCCTAGTGGGTCACTGAGTCAGAATTAACTTGACAAACAATGGGGTTTTGTTTATTGCTCCTCCCAAAGACAGACAAAACTATAAAGTATATTTTCTTTTTTGGTGAGAAAAATTTGTATTTAGAATTAGCCATTTGGACTCAGTTTGGATGATCCCAATTTTGTTGGCAACATCCAAAGGATCATAGTCAGGGCAGAGTCGAACATAGGCTTTCTTGTCTTCATCAGGTCTAATCAAAGTGTTGACCTTAACCACATCAATGTTATAGAGCTTCTTTACAGCTTGTTTAATGCTTGTTGGCCTTGACATCCACAATGAACACAAGTGTGTTGTTATCATCTATCTTCTTCATAGCTGACTCAGTGGTCAGGGGAAATTTGATGATGGCATAGTGGTCAAGCTTGTTTCTCCTGGGGGTGCTCTTCCAAGGGTATTTGGGCTGCCTTTGGAGTCTCAGCATCTTAGGTCACCAGAAGGTGGGTGACGTGCGGATCCTTTTTTTTTCTGTGGCTGTGGATGCCCTTCAGGACTGCCTTCTTGGCCTTTAATGCCTTTGCTTTAGCTTCAGTTTTGGGAAGAGCAGTGGCTCCCTTCTTCACTTTCACCGCCATCTTCGTAGAAAAAGCTAAAGTATACTTTCTAATCAAAGTATGAAAAGACTACATTTTCCTTTTAAATAAAAGATACAAATATGCAAAAAAAAGCTAATCAAGGAAATGAAAATGTAAATTCTAATATTAAAATCTATTGATGACAACCACTATGCAAGACAGTCTGGAGCTTTCACAAAGAGTTAGAAATAAAAATACCATTTGACCCAGTAATTCCACTACTGAAAATATACCCCAAAGAAACCAGAACTGCAACTCAAACTGATATATGCACATTCATGTTTATTGTTGAGTTAATTCATAATAGCAAAGAGACAGAAGCAATCCACTTACCCATTAACAAACTAATGGATAGAGAAACTATGGTACATTCACAGACTGGAATATTATTCAGCACAGAAAGACAATGAACTCATAAAACACTACACAAAAAGACAGACACTGCATAACACTGCTGTTATAAAATATTTCTAACAAGGGGTTTTGTGGAGAGAATAGGAAGACTAAATAAATAATGAATACTGCTTTAGAAGAGAAAAGGGAGCTGTCTGAAAGGAATATATGATTTGGCATCATATATATATGACAACAATCTGGAACAATAGGTAAATTGCAAAGAGGACTAGGGGAGGGAAAGAAAAAGTACAATATGAATGAATAAAAACTAAAACACAGAGATATACACAAACTACTGACATACTTATTGTTGTTTGGTGCTGTCAAGTCAAGGACCACTGTTAGTGACCTGATGAACAATAGATCTGAACCCTTTCCTATTCTGTGCCATCCTCATCCTTTGCCAATCCTCTACCTTTCCAAGAACCATGTCCCTCTCCAAGGAATAGCTCCTCCTTAGTATGAAGTATGTGAGGCAAAGTCTCATCTTTGCCTCCAAAGAGCATTCTGGCTTTACCTTCTTCAAGACATATTTGTTTGTTCTTTTGGTAGTCCATGGGATGTTCAGTGCTCTTCTCCAGCACTAGAGTTTAAAAGCATCAATTCTTCTGTCATCCTTAATCACTGTCCAGCTCTCATGCATACCAAAGTGATCAGAAAACCCATGGACTCAATCAGATGCACCCTACTCCTTATATCAATATTATTACTCCTCAATAATTTGGAGAGACCCTAACTGCAGACTTTTCTAGTGCAATACATCTCCTGGTTTTCCGAATGCTGGTACCAAGGGTGTTAATTGTAGATCCAAGTAAGATTAAGTTGTTGACAGTTTCAGTCTTTTCCCCACTTATCATTACTTTGCGTATTGGTCCAGCATTAAGAATCTTTGTTTTCTTGACATTGAGATGCAATCCATAGTTAAGGATGTATTCCTTGATCCTCCCATTAATTTAAGGTTAATTTAACTAATCTAATTCATTTAAGCCTATATTCCTTGATCTTCTAACTGATGTAGTTAAAAAGCATTAATTAATTATCTTGCTAGATCCTTTTAGCAAATTTTACTTACATCACAAGCACACCACTCTTGGAACATGAGTAAAATATTCTTTAATTGCATCTGTATGGTAATGGCAGCCTCCCAGTCAGGATCCACTTCAATGTGTTGTCCAACCTGTCTTCTGATTTCTTCCATTCCCTGCAAAGAAAGATTAGTCAGTATATACTTTCATAGGCTCTCTCTCTCTTTGCTCCTATATTGAAAAATACCAAATTGTCAGGATTCATACACATATATAAGTAGCATTTTAGCATGGTTGTTATACTAAAATGTGGGAGTTCAAATCCAGCTTTGCCACTTTCTAGTTGTGAAACCCTGTAAATTATTTTTAAGTGTCAATTTTGCCTTTTATGTAAAATAGGAAAAGTAATAGTAACTAGTCTAGAAGATCACTGTAAATCAAGGAATAATCCATGTAAAGTGCTTACTATACTATTTACTGCATGGCATGCACTGAATAAGTATTAATAGTAGCAATAGCAGTGAACTAAAATACAAAGAAAAAAATCTATTAAAACAGACACAGTAAAGCAGTGTTTAAATATTATTTTTATTTTGTTAGATATTCTCTCTTGTAATGCAATTATGATTGTAGCTAAACTGTGATGCTGAAAGACACACAAGAAAATCACAGTTTGCAAAACAAGAAAATAAAGGGTTAAATTTGCTTCAATTAATGTCTCTTACTAATGTATAGAAAGGAAGCTGTGGTGGCATAACTCAGAAAGAGTCATAATGCTGCCTCTATGGTGGTTCAAATCTACCAGCTGATCCAAGGGAGAAAAAAAGACAGCAGTCTCCCTCGTGATTTACACTCTCAGCTATAAGTCAGTTCAAATTTAATAGCAATGAGAGAAAATGTACACAGAAATAAGCATGGGGGGACTGTATAACAATGAAAGAATTTTTTTTTTTTTTTACTTTTCAAAGAGAAAAGCAAACTGGGGGCAAGGGTGGGCAGGGTGTAAAGTGTGCAATGAATGGATAGAAATCCAAAGTCTCTGTTAACTTTCATTAAAAAGAAAACCAAAACAAAATAAAAACCAAAACCCAACAATGGCACTATGCAGTGTTTGTCCTTTTGTGACTGTGATATTTTACTCAGCATAATGTCCTCCAGGGTCACCCATTTTGTATAATATTTCATGAGTTCCAAGTTTTTCAATGCAGTGTAGTATTCCATTGTGTGAATACACCACAGTTTCTCTATCCATTTGTTTGTTGATGGGCACTTAGGTTGTTTCCAACTCTTTGCTATTGTGAACAAAGCTGCGATAAACATGGGTGCGCATATATCTGCTTGGGTGGTTGTTATGGTTTCTTTTGGGTATATTCCCAGTAGTGGAATTGCTGGGTCAAATGATATTTCTATTTGCAACATTTTGAGAAACTGCCACATTGCCTTCCATAGTAGTGGCTTATTATATTTTATACTCCCACCAATAGTGAATAAGGGTTCCAGTTTCTCCACAACCTCACCAGGATTTGTTGTTTGCTATTAAATTAAATTTTGCTATTGTTACTTGTGTGAGATGGTATCTCATAGTTGTTTTGATTTGTATCTCTCTTACAGCTAGGGATTTTGGACATTTCTTTATGTGCTTGTTGGCCCTCTGATTGTCTTCTTTGGTGAAGTGTCTGTTCATATCCTGTGCCCAATTTTCAATTGGGTTGTTAAACTTTATCTTGTTGTGGTGCTCAAGTATTTTATAAATTCTAGATATAAGTCCCTTATCTAACATAACATTACCAAATATTTTTTCCCAGTCTGTGGCTTCCCTTTATACCCTGTTGGAGAAGTTTTTGGATGTGCATAGGGATTTGATTCTTAGAAGGTCCCATTCATCTATTTTGTCCTCTCCTGCATAGTGCCACTGTTGTAAAACACGACTGACATCGGAGTTGGGGGAGACTGAGAAAGATGAGATAAATTATGTATACTGCATTGAAACAGATGAGGGAGATAACTGTTTAAAAGGAATATGTGATTAGGTATTACTGTCATGACAGGAGTCCAGAACAAAGGCTGCATAGTGGAATGGGCCTGGGGGTAGGGATTGTATAACAATGGGGGAACTTTTCTTTTACTTTTCAAAGAGAAGAATGTACTGGGGGAGGGGTGGGCAGGGAGAAAAGTACAACAATGAATGAATGAAAATCCAAAGTCTCTGTAAACTTTCATTAAAAT